ATTATTCGATTCTGCAAGCAATGGGCACATAACTTGCAGAATAGGGATGACCAACTTATGCTTTTTGAGGGAACTGGATTTATACTTCGCTAGCCACGAAACTATCTGAATTGCCTGAGAGATAGCAAAGCAACGACAAAGACAAAGAAAGCGCACACTGAGAGATAGATAGGGGAGAGACAGAGACTTTATCTATCTAAACGCAGGTAAGTTAGACTTGTGAGCCCAACAAATTTGCATCTCAATCTCAACCAAGGATTGAGAGCATAGAGAAAATACAAGGAAAATATTCACCCTTTTTACTAACCTGGTGACGTGTATTAGATTCCAAACTTTGACTTGAGCAAACTTCAAGAGAGAATTGCACAATGGATTTAACAGATTCCCCAAGAAGAGGTGCAGGAGATTCAATCAACTCATCAAAAATTTCAAAAGCAATAACAGCAACATCTTCCTCGCCAGCTGCAAGGCACTGCCTTGATACATTTAAGATGCTAGGAATGAATTCTCGAAACTTGACCTGCATTGGTATGAATAAGATAAATACCAAAAATTAAGAACTGATGAGTTGCACTGGCAAAATCTTAGCTGACATGCAATGCAAGAAATTAGGGAGATAAACAGATTGCTTGGAATAAAATGCCAAAGGAATAAGATCATCATGTTTTGATAAACTTGGGATCATATGTTCGAATAGTGTAGTATTTTGATAGATTAGCCTTCTGTAGATTATCTTTCTGCAGCTTTCTATAGATTAGCTTTTTGTACTTTCTATTGCTCTTTGTCGTTGGCCCGTTGGCCCTCTTAGCCACGATTATTTTCATGTATCCTTCTCTGTCTTTGGCAATATATTATCATTTCTTTTCAAAAAAAAATATATATATATATATATATATTATGTTCAAATACTTAATCTGATTATAGGGTGGTTATTGTTTGGTACAAATTAATACTGGGAAATTGAGCTTTAACTTTAATTCCAAAATTACCATTCACTGTCACCCATGGTTTTGATAAGGGAGAGTGATTCTCTTATGAAATTTTATTTCAAGGATTCAAGAAGGATTGCCAATCGTTTTCTTGAAGTGTTAAATCACATTACGGCCTCACTAAGAATCTCACTCTGAAAATCGGTACTTTCATCAGCTATAAAAACGCATAACCAACCATGATCAGGTTCCATGGAATTTAAGCATCATTACTTTCCCTGGCCGACATACCAAATGAGCAATCAAAGTATTAGCCACACTAAAAAATATTGCAGCCAACTAGAAATGGAATATATAATCATGTTCACTAGATAAAATACATCAAACTCAACATCACCATGGGACAACCAGACCTATATTGTAAAAAAATAAGTCACAAAACAAGGCAGTGCAATGCAAGACAAAATCTGAGCTAAATCAATATTACTCTTGCCAAAACCATCAAGAGCATTTTCCATCATACCAACAGAAGGCTGAATTTTTTTTTTTCTAAATCAAGAAAAGACAACTCCTGTTCTTAAGGTGATAGATAAGGATATGAATACTATAATAGTTGTAATAGATTATATTTCAAAAGGCTTATCTGCTAAGTGCTTTCATAGTTTCAGCCTTCATGCTTGAGGTACTTTTCTTGCTTCCTTTTAAAGTGAACTCACTATAGGAACCTTACCACTTCAATATCATATTAGGTTGTCCAACTTACCCAAGTATAAAGATAGAATAGAAGCAGATGAACAACATTGAAGGACATATTGTTATTACATAAATAAATAAATAAGATACACACAAGAAAAGTATTTATTTATGACGCTTTACTTTCATTTATAACATAAACAGGCAGCATGAATAGAAACTCACCACTTCATCCCCATCATGAGTGAATTCCAGAAAAGACCCCACTGCCCTGGAATAATAATTAAAAGATTCCAATAAGCAAATACAAGCTAATCACGTGTTAGAAAAAGAAGCACAAAAATATCAAAATTATAATAGATATATACGATGATAAGCATTACTTGAGTGCAGCAACTCTGACACGGGTGCTCGTCTCATCCTGCAAGCATTTCAGAAGAAGAGCTTGCAAATCTGCGAAATGTGGTCGAAATGTATTCCCTATTGTTTCAGTCAAAGAGCTGAAAAGGATCAATGCCACCTTATTCCAACCAAAGTAAAACCAACCATATCAGTTAATACATTGAATCTGGTAACTACAGACCAGTATAAATAATAGTGTACATGAACTATTGAATGATGTGGAATGTTCAGATGTTTATGTCTGCTGTCGGTAGACTATATTTTGTCGAATATAGTCTCATCTACAAAAAAGTTTGTTTCTTTCATGCTTCAGGAATTTTTCCTCGCAAATCTTTTTCCACTCAATGTAAGAAAATCCAGTTGCTCTGTCTTTTAGTCATGCCGTGATTGGAAGACTGGTACAGCTACTAAAGTGCAGGTTTGTGTTTGATTTTTGTCTGAATTGGGAATTAATACTTGTTATATCTTCCAAGAAGAATACCCCATGCTTGTGTTAGTTTTTGGAGATGTGTAATTTTGGCTTCACTTTGAATTGATTTTTATGACGAACTCAAAGATTTATTAATAGGATATAAATAAAGATGCATAGCAGACAGCTGTCCAATAAAAAACGTGAAGAACCTCCAAAGGAGAGAAACAAGCTGCCTTTTTGCTTGAGTTGCTATATTTTAAATCCCCATGGTGTTTGAGCCCCAGATAGAGCACACATTGGGCATGCTATTGCATAGACTTCTAGATCCTCAATTTTTTTGGAGTTATTGGAGATAGATATGTGGTAAAAAATCCAAATAATATTATGTCTTTTTAATCGCCCCCATAGATTCTCCCTGTCACCCTGTCACCGCTACCCTGCCACAATTACTAATTTCCCTTGTAATTTTCAAATGCATGCCCCAGAAAATTCCACTCATTTTCCATCAGAGCCAGCATTCTCTAAATACATATTTTACAAAAAGAAGCTATTTTCCTTGGAAGCATGCCATTAAGCACCATTTTCTCTCAAATCCAACCATATTGGAGACAACTTCCCAGTATACATTGGCGTACATCAATCACTTATAACCCCTTCATGCATGAGATGATATACATACATCCAAAGTGCATTAGGCCTTCTAATTTTCGCACTGCAGTTAAATGGAGGAATGATACAGAGAATGCAACAGAAAAAGGGTTTCTTCCTGAATTCCATGGAAATTACCTCTCTATGTTCCTCTTGTGCACTCTGACTGCACTGAAACAGAAAGGGCAGCAAATCCGGCCATTCTCCAGCCGGGACCGCATATTTTGCAACAATGCTAACCACATTGGCACTCGCACGCCTCACTGGAGGGCTGCATAAACACCGTGAAAAAAAAAAAATTATCTTCATCTTCTTGCCACACTCAATAAACAAAGCAATTCAAATACATATCCCAAATCAAAACAATGCAATTGAGATAAACTTAGACCTGTGCTCCATGGTGATGCTCTCAATGAGGGACTGTTTAACGAGGTGCTTGATCTGGGGAGAGAGCTTGGCCCAGTGTCCTGTGATCTTCTTCCTCAGAAGCACAGCCGCCAATTGTCTCACATTCGGAGTTTTGGCGGTGCGCAGGTGCTGTACCAGCGCAGGCACTACCTGAGGGTCTTTAGCCAGCCGCTTTATCTGGTCCTCTGCTTGCCGCCGAGCGTCGTTGTCCGGCATCAGGAATTGTATCAGCAACAGCTCCAGTGACTGCGACATGTCGTCTGACCTTTTCTGTCTGCCTCGCTACAATTCTCTAGAGTGTGTGTGTGTGTGTGTGTCTCTCTCTCTCTCTCTCTGATTTTCTAGGGTTTCTGGTATCGGTTGTGCGACACCGTTTTGGGAGGTCCCAGCGAGGGGAAATGGAGGCTGTGTGTGTGCTGTAGTGCGAGGGTTTTGAGGTTTTTAGGGAGTCTGCTTGCTTTGGAGTGAAGGGTTTTTATACGCTGTGGGGACAGTGGACAGACAAAGTGTTGGTAATTTCGTAATTTGGAAATACGGTTGTCGCCAGTGGGGTGGTATGCAGTGGACCCAGGTCTCTCACAGACTCGGACTCGTGGCGCGCTAAATATTTAGAACGGCACCGTTTCACCTAATTCCATGGGACATGCTTTTGACCAATGAGAGTTGTTATTTTCATCCCCTTCTCCCCCATTGTAAATATCAAAATATCAAATATTGTAAATATTGTGTTGTTAAATTAAAAAATGGACAGTCCATTTTTGCCCTTTTTTTGGATTCTTTATAGAAATTTAATGGTTTAGTATTTATCTATAATACTAGTACTAAGAATGAGTATAAACCTAAATTTCTAAAAATATTATAGGCTCGTATGCACCTATACTATTTTTGCATAACCTATGTTTCCCCCAAATAATCTTAAAATGTTTCCAAATACTATTGTAACACTTTGAATAATTTGAAATAATTCAAAACTATTCACTTATTGAAAAAAATATATTTGTTTTAAGTATAAGCGATAATCTAAATAACAGGGGAATGCAGTTTCTCACACACTATACCATTCTTTATTTTATGATTTCTTTTCTTTTCATTTTTTTAAAATTTCATTGTACACACTTTATAAAAGGACAAATTTATCCTTACAATTGAAAGCAAATTGGATGGAGTTGTAAAAATTTAGCCGTAAGTTCTAAATTGGATTTTTATATAAGTATGAGTTTTAGTACTATTTGGCTGACAAAATATTCAAGGGAAAGCGGCATTTTATTATTATTTTTTTTAATGGAAACTTAAGAGAAAAGATTTTGTGAAAATAATTTGAAACGTCAAGGATGTTAGTGTAGTTTTTGAAACTTCAGAGGTTTTGGGAAAACACTAAAAAACTTAGGGGTGTTATAATAAATAACTATAATTCCGGGTTAAAACGGGCCTTGTCATTTGGCAGAAGATCCAACCGAACCAAACTGTAATTCCAGGGACGATTTGGAGAAGTAGAGAAGAGAAGGGAAATGAAGAAGAGGACAGTGTACGCTTGGGGGGTAGCCATTCTCAGTTTTGTGGTGTTGATGATCGTCACTCCTGCCATCCCTCAGTCTGAAGCTTACCACGATTTCGCTGACCAACGCGAGTTTTTGGGTCAAATCTCTCTCTCTCTCTCTCTCTCTCTCTCTCTCTCTCTGTATTTATGTGTATATATATGTACATATCAGTATGTATGTGTCTGTTTGTTTGTATGAGTAGTTTTATACATATATTGAGATCTTGGGCTAAACTTTAGTGATTGCATAGTAGTTCGTGCAGAAATTGAAAACCATATATTGCTTTCTGCCCCTTTCCTTAGGTTATTGTGGAGCCATCAGAACTCAGGTTGGGTGTGAACTTAGTTTGTTGGAAGTATACGGGCTTGTGATTAAGGACCGGAATAAGTGAATTATATATTTGGTTAGCAAATTGCAGTTATTTCTAAATATATGATAATGGGAAAAATAGAGTTTGCAATTCCTGTTTATGTCATCATGCTTAACATAGTTAGAATTTGTGTTTAACGAGCTCACATTGCAAGGTTGTGCTAAGATAAGCTGTGAATATTGGCTCGCAACTTTTAGGATTAATCATAACCTATGTGAGCAAAGATATGAACCAGTTTTTGGGGCAGAACAGCCTTTCGTGAGTGATGACAGAAAATTGGGCTTCATTTCTAATATTGCTTTTCCCCATTTTAGGTTTCTAGTGATTTTTCAAGTTGATGTAATAAGGTTTTAGTAAAAGCTTAGAGTCAAACTAAATTATTGATTATTCTTCAAACCTCAAATTTGATAGTGATTTCTAACAGAGTTTTGTTAAGTGTAAGGTATGTTGGGTTGTCTTGTAATTTAATGGCTCTTGTGGGAAAGAATAATTTTAGTATAACTTATTATCAACCATGGTTCAGGTTATGAACTTAGGACTCTCTGGTTATGGTTGTGATTCACTTGGATATTGGCCAAACATACTACTTTAACTTATTCTGGGATTTGTTAGGTTTTTGGTTGCATTCATTATTTAATGCTTTTTAACTTTTTACTCCATTTTATTAACATGGCATCTTCATTTTATTTCCAGGTATTCCTAATACACTTAATGTGGTTTCAAATTTCCCTTTCCTTGTTATTGGTCTCATTGGTCTTGTCCTTTGCTACTATGGGGATTATTTTAAGTTCAGGTACTGTGGTTCTTTACTTCATGTACAATGCCTAGAATGGATTAAAAGCTTTATTGTACAGACAGTGATTATTTTCTATATTTTAATAATAGCTTGCAAGGAGAGCTTTGGGGTTGGACGTGTTTTTACATCGGTGTGGCTGCTGTTGCAATCGGATCCTCATACTATCATCTGAAGCCAAATGACGCTCGTCTTGTGTGGGATCGCTTGCCAGTGAGTTTGATATTGCAACAAAAGTCATTTGTTATATAGAATGTCAACTACTATTAAGATGCCATATTTGACATTTATTTTTCTGTCTTATGACAACTACAGATGACAATTGCGTTCACATCGATCATTGCAATCTTTATCATTGAAAGGATTGATGAGCGGAAGGGAACAATTTCCATCATACCCCTGCTTTTGGCGGGTATTGTCAGCATATTGTATTGGAGGCAAGCACTATATTTTATTCCTTTTCTTGATAATAATAACTTTTTCGCAAGCTCTATTTTGTACTGTTGAGAACTTGGGTTTCCTTCTTTGTAGCTAATGAAGTATATTTACTAGAGTGTGACTAGTTTTCTGTACGAAAATGAGTTTGGACTTTTACTGGCATGCAGTGAAATTGGGATTATAGAGTTTTGGGAGCAAATAGGTTGTTTGTAAATCCATGATGGGGTTCGGAGCAGTCTCAAATGCATATACTTATTACCTTTTAATCCCTTGCTACAATTTTTTTTTGGGAACTTAACTGTAAACATATATTCGGGAGACTGCTTTTGCATAATCAAACTGAGTTTCTTGTTTTCTGTACACTCCATTTCCAGTAAAAAATAATTGCTGTAATTTCCTTGTACAGGTTCTTTGATGACCTCCGTCCATATGCTATGGTCCAATTTCTTCCTTGCATTGCGATTCCTGTGATGGCTATATTGTTGCCTCCAATGTACACTCATTCCACGTATTGGCTTTGGGCAGCAGGTTTGCGTTTTTAGTAACATGGGTTACTTTGTTGTTTCCTAAAACCTTGCATTTTCACTATATTGGTTATGAACTTTTCATGTTATTGCAGGATTCTATCTTTTAGCTAAGGTGGAAGAAGCTGCTGATAAAGTGATCTACGATTGGACTCATCATATTGTCAGTGGGCACACCCTCAAGCACTTGTGCGCTGCAATGGTTCCTGTATTCTTGACACTTATGCTTGCAAGAGGACTGTTGAACCAGAGAGGTGTTTATTATATTCCCTACACTATTACGTAACTCTTTGGTGCATGTAGAGATATATGGAATGTCTTTAAAATAGGCATCATGATGATGTTCGAACTTTCCCATATCTGTTTCGCTTGGATGCATAGTATACTATACTTACATGTGCACGTTAAATTTGCAGAAGTTAACCAAACTCATATTTTGCTAGCTCCTCTGCTAAGTTGCCTCCTTTTTTTTTGTGAGAACTGACTGTATCATACTTAGATGCTTTGGACTAACTTGATATTTTTTTCTTTCCTGCCATCCACTAGTTAGTGGTGCATTTGACATGATGCCATCTCTGGTTTTGTATTTATGGAATTGAACACCTCCATGGGATATTTTGAATTTCATGAAAATTGTTAGTACCTTAGTTGTGAGTAAAATCTATAGTAAATATGCTTTTCTGCTAGATTGATCTGATTTATTTGGTAGAATCAGACAAAACTGCATAGTATGTTGATATATGTTTCTGAAGGTGCAAATTGTTTTTCTGAATATCATTATTCCATCTGGAGTGATTCTACTTGAACCTGAAAAGGAAATGTACCATTTATTTATATTTTCCTATTTAAGATTCTAATTCTCCTTTTCCCCTGAAAGTTTAAACAACAAATATGAAAAAGGGAAATTCCTCCATCACCTCCCCTCCCCTCCCCTCCGCCCTTCTTGGCCTAGGCGCCTCAGCATTGGCTGGCCGTTTTTCATTTCTTCTCTCTTTTTCTAATTTTTAGTTGATAAAAGAGTCAATTGGGGAATAAAATAAAATCATATTCTGGTTACTCGTTTGATCCTGTTATAAAAGCACCCTTATTTGCAGTACTCTAACATGACTCTCTCTCTCTCTCTCTCTCTCTCTCTCTCTCACACACACACACACACACATAATGCAGGCAAGTTTGCTCAAGACATGGAAGATTTCCTGGACTAAATTTAGAAAGACTGATGGCACAGTAGAGAGCGATGGCACAGTAGAGAGTTACACTTGTACCTACTCAACAGTTCCAGTTGTGGAATCACAATAATCTGGCTTATAGTTTTCTATTTCAGAAGATAGAAGGGAACTTTTCACTTGTATTTGAACAGATGACAAGAAACGAAACGGAAAAAAAATTCACACACTAACTTAGTTGTTGGCATTGGCTACACAGAAACGATAATTGTAATTTTGCTTCAAAGTTACACCAAGTACAGACGCATCTCCATATTGTATATAAAGACTTTCATACAACTTATTTAGTTTGATTGTGGGGTTGCTCATTTCCATTATGTTCATAGTGGCATGTGGATGTTCTGGGTTGCGGTGGTTCATGATCAATATTTGCTTCTCCATGCAACTTTCTTGTAGAAAAATCTAAGCATATTACCTTGGTTTTTTGTTCTTTAACTATGGGCCTCATATTCTGTTTTTTCCTGGTTTTTCTGGAATTTTAGAGAACTTCCAACTCATACATGACCACCATACTAACCTGAGTCTTGCTGACTTGCAAATATGAAAAATTAACTGTGACATATGTACCCTTGTTTGCCCTTCACTTTTAATTATAATATTTTAAATACAGATATTATTACATGGAAGAGATTTTAAATTGGTAATGTTTGTTTATAAATATAAAGATATCCAAAAGCCTTCTTTACTATTGTCTTAATCAGGTTTAAACTGTGAAGCCCAAAGACTATCCTAAAGCAACCCTACGGAAGCTTTAAAACAAAGTGGGGCATAATCATGCAACGATTAAGATGGATAAATCTGCCCCTCAACAAAAATAGTTAAATAAGTTGATAAATTGGTGTAAAACAATTACCTTAAGAACAAGCTCAAGCATAGTACATCATAGCTCTGATTTGATCACAGTTCAAACAAGCTAGCTTGAAAAGCATACATGAACCATGAAGGAACAAGTAAACAAACATCAACCTACATTACATGAACAAACTGTTTAACAGATGTAAGTGCTTCTTCGACCTACTAAATAATTACACCCATTGTGAATTCTCTGAAAATATACATGCAACTCAAAATCTATGAGGTTAATGACATGGCACCTTAATTTCCAGCTTCCTTTTTTTTTTTTTTTTTTTTTTTTTTTTTTTTTTTTTTATAGATACAGTCAGTCATAGTGAAAGAATTTATAATTCTTATCCCGCCAATTAGCTCTAGATTTTTGGCCAAGCAGGAAGAGCAGGATATAAGTGCCTTGCCCTGCAGTCAAACCGGCAAACAAAATCCCTGCTCCACGAACTATTGGCTCTCTCCATCAGGCATTGGCAGCAGGAACCTAATTGAGTTTTGATATTGGTAGAACTGCAAGCATTCAAGGTGCAAAACATAAAGTAAAACATAAAATTGTACTAATCACATAAAAGGGCAGCGCTACACAGAGTTCAGGTTCAGTTTACACTAAATATTCCTTGCTTGTTCACAATAGAGGGAAATGTTAAGTTAATAACAGAAAAGAAAGTGAAATAGAAAAACCTAGCTAAATGTAAGAGAGTTCCCCGTTGGCTGATATCTTGATATTCCTTAAAATTCTATAATGAACCCAATAAAAAATAAATATTTCAATTTGTTCCACCAATATAATTCAGTAGTCCTAAAGGAAACAATGTTTCCTATGGGAAGGTACCTCTTTCATGATCTCCTCACATTTATGTGCTAATTGTTTCTGTTGAGATGCTCCAGATTCTTTTATTGATGTAGTCCTTGCTGTGATAGAATCCACCTATCAATTGCAAAGCTAAACTATCAGTTTGTACTCAGACTGACAGAGATTGGTATGCTCATTAATCTCATCACATAAAGTACCTCTGCTACTGCAGCTTCGACATCCCTTTGCCTTGCTTCCATATCACGCCTCCTAGATTCCACCTCCAGCTTCACATTATTAAGTTCTTTAGAAGCCTCCTCAAACTTTAGATCTCTCTCTTTTTCTAGCTGCTTTTTTAATTCATTGAACTGTTCCACTGGAGAAAAAGAAAAGGAGCTCTAAACTCTGTAGCACAACTAGCCATTTACATTAAGCCCTGTCTACATGTTTAAAAAGGAAAGTAACTCAATATAGATTGAAATAGGTTCCATTTGGATCGAAGGATTTAAAGCAAGGGTTTAAAATTTGAGTTTATGGTGCAAATTGCTTAACTAGAGTTTAATAATGCTAGTTTCTTTTGTTCATAAAATCAACAAATTAATTTGGTTATTTGAAAAAAAAATGAGGGACTTGAATTAACACTTTTCTCTTAAGTATTTTATATCCCTCAACTTTTGAAACAATCAAACTTTATTGTGGATGTTATGAACATAAAATTTTGATATTTATGCAGTTCAACTAAGCAATTTACTTAAAGATTCAAACCAAAATCCTTCCATCCAAATCGACCCTAAGAAGCTACCTTTTCCTTCCCGTTCAACCAGTTTGGCCTGAAGAGACCTGCTTAGGACTCCATCATCAGCTAATTTAGCTTTCACAGCCTTAAAATCTCTGTCAACAGATTTAGCAGAATTGACCTAATAATTAAAAAGTGGCAACGTTATGAAACAAGACATTTCAAGCAAAGAACACTTGACTGCACCAATAAGAATGCCAACAGTCAAAATCTTTTATCTTAAATAAGTAAATTTATACCATCGAATGCATAGAAGACAGTATAAAATAAATCTGAACACAACAAGGACTTCACACTACTAAGATCATTCAAGCATACAAGATTATGGTATATACATACCTGTTCTTGTATAGCCTGCATCTGGGCCAAGTGCTTTGACAATTTCTTTGAGACCTGAGAACAAGCACAGAAACAAATGACCAATAAAAATTTACAATGTTGTATAAAACTGCGTATATTCTTTCATGGATACACGCATATTGTTGTCTGATATATTTATAGCATGTGCAGGCGCATACACACACCAGTAAAATATGAATGGCTGTTACTATATGATTTTCGAGTTTTATATTACTTCCATCAACTTACTAAATGGTTAAATTGCATCTTATTTATCATCTATTTTTTGAAAATTGTATGCGGACTTGCACCAAATATAGATCAAGACATATGTGAGGGACAGTGGCCTTTTTATTTTTTCCTACAATACAACAGATTAGGGTGTTAAATTATCGGAGCTAACATAGGTTTACCCTTTATTTCGTAAATTTTTTTTTTTCTTTCACTTTGTTGCTTTAATCTTTTAAAGTTAATAGTCATTTATAACCAAATATTGTTTAAAACCTGAGACTGTTAGATTGTGACATTTCTGGAATGCAAGCGTTCATAGCATTTTCTAAACTGGTTTGAAGATCAAAAATAAAAAATAAAAGAATAGCATCTAGAAAGGAAAGAAAAATTGAACTTTGAATTTCATAATAGATTACCTTTGTATAAACCTCATCAACATCAGTTTTCTCCTTAAAAGATTGCATTGCTGACCTTTCAAAATTCTTTGCCTCCTCTCGAACAGATTTCTTCTCTTCTAAAGCCCTCTTCAAGTAAAAATCTGGTCAGCAATTGATGAAAGAAAACTAAAGAAACACTGAACCCAATCAACATAACTAAAAATGAATAGAGTTACTGTTATTTAGTAAGATACAGAAACAAGTAGTTAAGAGCCCTTATTTGGAAAACCCATACTAAGAGATTAAGGATCATTTGTGAATAGGCTACAATGAAAACTTGAGAAAAAGTTCATGCGAAAATAGTACGGAAAAGGACAATAGGGGCATAAGGAAAGGGAGTGTGGAATGGGTATGGTGCATATTTACAGTAATCCAATGTCAAAAATAGGGAGTAAAACCAAATCTGTGTGGATAAAACTTAATAAATTCAATCTTGCATACCATGCATCTTCTGCATATCCAATTTGTATCCATAAGTCTAACTCTTCCATTTTTTATTTTTTTTTCAAAAGGAGATGGAGGGAATCATCATATTCGTTATAGCATTTTCATTTTCTATTCATAATGGAACTGCTGAGGGCTAGTTTACTCCAACTATGAGTATTCATTAAAAAGATCTGTTGTCAACTTGTCACCATGCATCTTTATTTCATGTATAGAACCTCTAAACCGTTGTGAAATTTGCTAGCCTCATATTGAATTAATAATATCAAAAAAAAATTTCCCTCCTTGATGTTTTAGATTCACCAATTTATTATTTCTGGTCTTTTTAAAAGATTAATGACTCAGTTCATGAAATGCATGACCATATTAAATTGTCTAACTACAGAAAAATAAAACTAGAAAAACTTTATGAGCCTGTTAACACTTGGAGTGGGGATGCAATCAACAGTAATGTAGTAGTTCTGTTTGGTAAATTGTCATTTACCAAATACAACTTAAACAGAAACGATACCTGCAGTTTATCTGGTGATTGAACAATTCTTGAACGTAGATTTGCACTTTCTTGGACACTTTGTACCAGAGCAAACTCAGCGCTAGAAATCTGGAGCAACGGAATAAAACAGAAGAATAATTGAAAATATTTAAATAGGCAATCTGCATGATGACCACAAAATAAAAGTTTAACACAACACATCAACGTACACAGTTGTCTAAATAGATAATCTGCATACTCACAGATAAATAAAAAAGTAACTATTAAATGGGGAAAATGGAAGATGGAAGAACTGAGAGTAAAATGTAACTATTAAATGGAAGTTTTAAAACATTTCTTTTTTATCTGTCTTCAATCCAAACATGTTAGAAGGACTGAATTTGTTGGTCCCTCCGCTCTCCTTCCTACTAACATAAGGTTAGAGTTTTGGGGAGCATGGACGAGCACATGCACATACACACACAGACACGACACCTCTTTGCAAGATAAACTGTAGTTAAAATATACAAGAAACACAACCAAGTATAGACAGACAAAGGGCTCAAACAAGCATAAAATTCCAGAGTAACCAAAACCAGAGTGGAAGTAGATGCGATAGATCATCAAATTACACTTGGTGGTTGTCATTAAAAATCAAAAAGACCTGAGTAATTTCATTTTAATCTTACATTCTATTGCTCTTTTAATGCCTCTGTCTCTAAACTTTCATAACAAAAAAACTCACCTTCCCAAAATAGTACATCTCAATTTTTCTAACCATTCAACACTACCAATTACTTAATCTCCAGCAATTACAACAGCTTTCCTAGCAGGGTTTAGAATTATTTGTGTATTTTTATGTTAAATACTTAAAGAATATATCAGTTTTCCTAGCAGTCAATAATCTAACCTTTTCCTCCATTTCTCCAGTCTTCTCCTTCAACTTTCGAAGAGAAGTTCTCAGTGACATTTGCTGATTGTTAAGGCCTGCAATTGTTTGGCGCAATTCTTTTACTTTTGCATCTACCTCTTGAACAAGAGGTAACTCCTTTTCTCTTGCTTCATTGTAGTCCGCAATCTCTGCATTCAACTACAACACAAATATCTAGTGAAATTGATGCACGTTCACAATGAACCTTCTAAAGACACCTATTTTCATATTAAAGTTACCTGGGAAATCCTGTCCTCCCACCTGTTGCGTTGCTCATCAATATCAGTTACTTGATCCACAACTTTGGTAAGGATATTCATTTTTGTCTCTCTGATAATCAAAAAATACAGCTAACATGTGTAAGAAGCAATAGTTAAGATAAAATTCTTTAAACTAGAACCAGTAATTTTTTATATGTAATATGTGTTCTATTTTCTTTGAAGTTAAAAATGGGAATAACTTTTGCTTAGGAAAGGAATGATTGGGACAGGAATTTTCTCTTTTTATTATTTTATTTCTGCTCACTTATTAGAACACTGTACTTTTGGTTTACCATTAACCATAGCTCTCGTGAGGAAATCAGGTGACACAAATTAATACAAGTTCTTCCTCCAGGTTTCCTTACAAAGCAATATTGACAAATTCAACCCTCCAAACATGCATCATATGCATTCCAAGCACACTTGGAGAGCTCATACAAGAATTTAACTCAATAATATAAACAAATTTAAATGAAAAGTGGAGGAAACTGTTATTGCCACTCCAATCATGCACTCCACTCTTGTAAACCATAAGGGAGGAGTGTAAACCTATAACAGCTCCCAAAGTATTATATTTTAAAAGACTAAATAATTGCACAAATCTTACCTGTGAAGACAAAAATTGAGAATTGCACTGAGAAAATATTCAGTTCGATCCGTCTCTGGTCTTATCAGATCTTTTAGGGTGAATCTCTTAGGGCAATCTACTAAGGCCACCACTTCCTTCATCCTATTGTACAGCTTCATGCTCCGAGCCGAGTCAACGTGAAGATCCGGGTTCTCAAGTTGCTCCAAGGCAGCAAACTCAACTTGCTCATAATCTTCCCTGCATAAAGAAGAAACCCCAGGAAGGTTTGAAGCTAAGATTTTATTACGAACATTGGTATTAGTCCCGAATTAGAGAAACAATTATAATAGTAAGGAGATTTGATTTCTCTTCTCTTCCTACCAAAACCAACCTCTAACTAACTGCTGATAAAACTCAAGAAAATTAAAGAACATAAAATTCAACTTAAACAAAAATTGATGCATAGGAAAAAATTCATGGTAGAAATTTATACTCTGTGACAAAGAGCAGACAAGACAACGGAGAAACTTCCGTTGCCCTTGTTAGTGACTATTGAACGCAGTAATTCCAAATTCTCTATATTCATTTTTTTAGAAACCAAGCACGGCACTAGGCTGTTATTCCCTCCATTCCATTAAGGAGAAAAATTGTTTGTTCAACTCACTTCCCTTCACCCAACATCCAATCTCACTAACATCAAATAATAAAAGCTCAGAAAATCTTCAAAAACCCAAACATGGATTCTTCTTCACTTCTATCCATCTCTCTCTTTTTCCTTTTTTTTTCTTCAGGAACCAAACAGAGCATCTGGGTCCAAGTCCATCTCTTTAAAAAAAATAAAAAAATTACTAAAAATTAGAACCCAAAAAAGTGAGAAAACATAAAAAGGAGAAAAATTAGGGCTTTGTTTTCCAGTGAAGTGTGCAAATTTATGGAGAGAAAAGAAAGGGAGAATTAGGTTTTTCAGGAGAGGAACGTACTCGTGGAGGAAGTCGATATGGCTGAGGATCCGGGCGAAGAGGTCGGCGACGAAATCAGGGTTTGGGTTGACAAGATCGCGGTCAGAAATGGCGACGATCTGAGAGTCGGCGAGGATTGTGACTATGTCGTTGCGACTGAGCTTCGGGAATTCGAACTTGGACATTTCTCCTCCTCCTTCTCCTCGTCCTCCTCCTCTTTCAGTCGTTTGCGATAATTGAGAATAAAAAAATGGAACAGAATGATGTTTTCCCGCTCCTTCGAAAATTGAAATAGGTGTACTCAATTTAGATTTTAAATCATTTTAAAGGAGTTATAAAGTTGATGGAGTTATAAAGTTGATGAAGTTTAATTGAATTTAATTTAGTTTGACTGAATTATACAAACTCCACATAAATTTTGACTGAAATTATGTATAGATTTTGACTGAAATTGTGTTTAGATTTTAACGGAATTTGTTAGAGTTTTATTATTGATTTTAATGGTGTTTATGACATTCAAAAACAAAGGATTTAGGGGTGATGACAGTGATGGCAATGGTGATGGCGATGGTGGTGGAGATGTGAGGAAGGTAGTGGTGGTGTCGGTGAGAGTGAGGTGGGGGCAGTGACGGTGGCAGTGGCGGTGATTGTGATGGTGCTAGCAGTGGTGGTGTGGTGACAGTGAGGTTAATGGTAGGAGTGATGGTGGGACTGGTAGTGGGGGTTGCAGTGGCAATGGGGGGTGGTGGTGAAGGTGGCGGTGATGGTGGAAGTGCTGGTGGGACTGGTAGTGGGGGTTGCGGTGGCAATGAGAGTGGTGTTGTTGCTACTGGGTGTGGTGGTGATGGCGGTTGTGGTGGCAGAAGTGATAGCCACGATAAGATGGTTGTAGTAGAAATTGTGAATATCTTGAGAATAAAAATAATATATCTCTCAAAATCTCTAGGATGAAGCAAAGATTTGTCATGACCTAAAATTAAAATTAGTCTACAATCAAACGAAATCCACCACTTTTTGTATTTTCTTTAAAATCAATGAGTTTTGTAGTATACCTAAACTTTTATGAAGTCTTTTAAAGTCGTGATTGAATACATCCAAATTTGAATGGAGTTTAAAGATTCTGAATTGAATACATCTAGAATTGTATAGACTTCTATAAAATCGTGATTGAATACACCTGAACTTTTAAACTTCTTTAAAATTTTTTAAAATCTCAATTGAATATGGAAAAGATTGCCAGTGGGGTTCAGCTACGGCGGTTTGGCAGCAATTTTCCCCACGCCCCACATTGGCACCTAAGTTCGACGCTTGATATTGGCAAAAATTTGTAGAGAACCAATTTTACTCTAGAAAAGTAAAAAATGAAAAGGTGACAATAAATACTCGAGTAATGGCCTAATAGTAATGGATATGGCTCTTGGGCTATAGATAAATATAATTAGGACATCCAAACGGTTTCACAAAAGACTTCGTAAATAGAAATTAATTATTTTGTGGACTTTTTCTATAATTTTTTGGTATTAAATAATAAATATAATATAATTACTAATTAAAGAAATTCATAAAAGCTAAGATATTACATAATTACATATATTGAATTAAAGAAGTAGGTCAAAAAACAAAAGTAAAGAAACTAATTATATGTTTTTAAAATTTTTTTTTTAAACCTGTATCAACGAAAATTCGTCGGCAGAGGTCTATGCCGACGAAATTTCCCTGATTCAATTTTGTTTTTTAAAACATATAGCCGTACGGCTATACTATTTATAAATTTAAAAAAGGACGTGCCCAGCGCATAGGTGCCACATGTCAAACGCGTAAAGCCGCGCGAGACTATTTCTTTTAAAAAATCAAAAAAGAATCTAGTATAGCCGGACGGCTATACGATTTATATATATGTATAAAGATACAAGCAGCGCCTATGCGCCACGTGTCAAACAAGTACAGCCGGTCAGCTATGCTATTTTTAAGGAGTATATCCGCCCAGCTATACTATTTTTAAAGACAATTATGAAAAACCGAGTATAGCCCCTCGGCTATACCATTTTTAAAAATATATATATTATTTTATTCAGTAATACATGAAAATTATGGATATAACACGTGAATTTTGTGTGTCTAAACATAGGAGAAGTCAAAACAATTGATACCAATATAATAAACTCATATCAATAAAATAATATTTATTATGGAACCCAACTTATTTTGTAGTGAAAGACAATTGAAAAGTGAATATTAATGTTATTAAATTAATATCCTTACTAGTAGTATTTTTGCTCACTACATTAAACGAAAGTATATGCTCACCACCATCATTTAAACGTGGCACCTGTCTCATAGTTAACCTTAGTTAAGTTTTATGTGAGAATTAAAAATAAATAAAAAATTGAAAAAGGGCCTACAACCCAACACTTCTCACCTCCTTTATTTTCCTTTCGTTTTCCCCTCTCCTCCTTCCTTTCTCTCTTCTCTCTCATCTTGCCGGCACTCTTTCCCTCACTTTGTCTAAGACTAGGTATGCAAAATGACGTGGCTTGAGCATGGGATTGAAGAGCGCGAAATAAACGAACACATAATCTACCTTGATACCATAGTGGCGGGGCTGTGCACAAGGCAGTCTGAGTGCCTGTCCAGCCTAAAATTTATCAAAAAAAATAAAATACATATATGTGTTATAAGCCTAGCCCAAAAATAAAAAGAATTAAAAATAAACCCTGCCTATATGTTGCCCATCCTTGTGGTCCCATCTTCTCTCCTTCTCTTCGGCTATTAGACTTCTTGTTTTTCTCTCTCTCTTTGCTACTAGACGTCAGCAAGTTTTCTCCTTTTTTTTTTTTTTTTTTTATTCTTCCTCAATATTCTTCATCTTCTCTTCTTCTCTCTCTTTTCTCCTACAAGGTATTATTCTCATTCTCTCATTTGCTATATATTTTTAATTATACTTTTAATTTAAAATTGAGTATTCTAGGGTTTAAGTAGGGATGAATTATAATTTTGAGATTTTGTTGAAATTAATTAGGGCTTTGATTATTCTAAAGCTACAAAGATCATTACTCTTCCGTATTACAACTCTTCCTCCAATTATTACTTTAAATTTCCCCAAATTCAACTTTGGATTTTTCTCAAATGATAGTCGAAGATAATGTCGCAAGAAGTTTGAAGAAATTTTAGTGTAACTTTCTGATATTTTTTTGTTGTTATTAATTTTTAAGGTAAAGACATAAAAATGAAATCTCATGACACATGGTGACAAAAGGAGAATGACACTCATTAAAAGCACTAATGTCGCATTATTCAAGTGCTGCCACTTGTCATTCTCTTTCGTTTATTATTATTTTGAATGTTTTAACTTCCAAAAATCATAATAATTCATTAAATAGCATAAAAATATACACACACCAAAATTCTACAAACTCAATGTGACACTTTCTACGTCTTTTTGAGTTAAAAAAATTAAAAAATTCAAAAATTAAAATTATTTTAAGACTTCTAAGTAAAAAAAAAAAAAAAAAAAAAAAAAAAAAAAAAAAAAAAAAAAAAAAATTATGAAATTGAAATTAGTAAATGAAAGCGATGTTGAAGCTCTAGTGAGTCCTTTTAAAGCTTTTACGAAACATATTTTGGTGGCAAACAAGTGATGTTGCAAGTTCCTTTGCTTTTTGGACGGCGATTTCCTCCCTAAGCTTTGCCATCTTTTCTCTTTTCCTCGCCTGTTGTTTGTGATCAAAAGAAAAGTCTTGAATTGAACTCTGAAACATACAAAATGCAAATATCTGATCAGTTACATCCATCCCCATGTAATTTATACCAAATGTCTCTCCTGCCTTGCTGAAGACAGGCTCCACATATATCAAAAATGTTTTTGACCCAAATAATGGTGTCTCAAATGTAATCTCCCTTTTTGCATGTAACCTTTTTTCCAGAACCTCCTTGAAGTCTTGAAGAAGCCAATTCTGGTAAAACCCTGAAGCCAAAAATAAGAAAGTAGACCAAATTGAGGATTTTCTCTGAACTCATGAGTAAACAGAGAATAGGGGTTTATTAAGATGTAGAAATAACAGAGGAAAACTGAGACAAATGTCAAGATTACATTGGAGGACCAAGTAGCATGTATGTACATTGTATACCTCCTCCAAGTAATAGAATTTGGATAAAAATAAAAAAATTTCAAATTTTTTTATGCATCAAGTAGCTGAAACAAGGCAATCAAGAACTTAAGATTCTAGAGAAGAATTGAACTCAAAATAAACATAATTAATGAACTTCAATCTTAAAAACAATAAACTCAAACATTTGCATTGCAAAATTCTTGGATTGGTTTTAGTTTATTAAGATGAGAACAAAAGTGTCAAAATGATTGAACAACTCAAAGAAGAAAAAGATAGAGCCATAGGTTATCTTAAAGGGTGGTGATTTTCTCATTCCCTTTTTGTACTATAATGAAAAAGGAAGTGTAAGTGGACAAAAGAGGAGTGGGAACATACAATTTCTAACAAAGGGAGTGTAAGTGAATAAAAGAGGAGTGAGAAAATCAGCTCTCATCTTAAAACACTCAAACAATTATTAATAACGAGCATTCATGACTTACATGAGATCTTAGAAGTCAAGAATAATGAACATTGGAACGGCAACCAAATTTCCGTCGATCCTTACAAGAGAATGCTACAAAACTTAGATTCATTCTGATATACGAAGTACAGATCCACGAAAATTTGATTGATGTTCCAATGTTCATTTCATAAGTGCTCGTTATTGATAATTGTTTGAGTGTTTTAAGATAATCTATGGCTCTATCTTTTTTTTTCTTCGAATTGTTAAATCATTTTAAGCGGATTTTTTGTTGTTGGGTAAATGTTTGGTAGGTGTGCAATTTTTCCCATTTTGGACAACAAAGTTTTAAATTTGGAGTTAGTGATAAAAGACATATCTAAACTAATTACAAAAGCAGAGAATAGGGGCTTTTTATAGCCGGATGGGGATGGAAATGAATGTTCCACTTCCACCTATCATTCATGATTCAACTCATACTTTTTTTTGCTGTAAAACTCACTCAACTGTCAACTCATGCAAGTTATCCTTTATTTTTGAATAGTTTGCATGTAGTGTGTGCCTAACGTTTTCGCCACTAAAATGTTTTTATATCCTTTCTTTTTGGGCTTCTTTTGACCCAAAAAGAAAAAAACTTTTCTTTTTGGATGGCTTTTTGATCCTGGGCCTCATCTTACTTTCTTTGTTCCTTTATTTTGGGCTACGCGGTCTTACCTGGGGTCGTTCTCTAGCAAGTATCTCTAAGTGAGGAATCAATATGAGAACACCGTTGGATATATCCAACGGCTCTGTGAAAAAGCAATTGTAAGTGAAATTTGCACTGGAACCAGCCCTCAACTTGTGCATGTTCTCTCCTCCCTCCCTCCAAAACATCTGTTCTTTTTCTTGAAGACCACAATATATGTTTTTGATGGCTTGACATTCTCTTTCAGGAAGAATACTAAACACATCTACCCCTTTTATTCGTTTTTTTAATTTAATTTTTCTGCTTTGGTCATTCAAACCATACAAAACAAGCTATTATCTTGAATAGCACATGTACCCCTCTAATTTGTTTTTCTCTTTTCATATTTCTGGTTTGTTGATTCTGGTGTGAGCATTCATCAAGCCTTGAGGACCCATCTGGTGACCGCGGTGCATCTTGTTCTATACTCATGGATGGTGTTGACATCCTTGAGCACGCTCGAAAGTGGCCTTGAGTTCGATTACTTGAGGATTTGAGACTACAAAGTGAGCACTCGCATCTGGTTCTATATACTCTTGGTTTTAAAATCTTTGAGCAAATGTGAAACTAGAGTTGATTTTGAGTCCTTTATGACAGGAAGGTCAAAAACTTTTGGGGTTGACGTATAGCTCTAAATCGGCTACATTGTAATACTTGTACAAATTTGGAAGCTTGGAATTACGAGATAAGTGATATTCTGTATTTGTGAATTTGAGTATTTGAGGAAAATGTTCGACCAAGTATACCGTCACAAGTTACGCTCGTTTGGAAGTAGTTTTTGTCATGTTTCACCCGAGGCTCACATGACTTCCTATGTGGAGAATACGTCTTAACTAATGTTTCACGATCTATTTCGTTTAAATATCGTGCGGGAAGTATTTTTCTCTGATATATACAGTAGTTTTTTTTTAATTTTTTTTTTGGTGACAATCATATTTTGCATATAATATTTTGGTTAATATATATTTGAATGCTCAATGAAAGCATTTGTCAATATTATTATGATGGTGAGGTGATCTTCAGGGTTAAATTGCAAGAATTGTGAAATGGAGTCTGAAACCGAGGTGACACCGAAAGTAAGTGTGGAGTTCAAACCACAAGTGGTACTTGAATTTGATTCTCTTGACTCCGCTTAAAAATTCCTGAGTTCGCCGCTGAAAAATTCTGAGGTCCACCGCTGTGCACAAGGCTACAACTACAACGACGCATTTTCCCTCACTTTTAACAACAAAGTTTGCTTCAAACTCTGAAAGTTCCATTCAGCTTTCCATAAATACCAAGATAACTCTCCACCTCAATGAAAAATCACTCAAAACACAACCAAAAATAAAATACTCAAGATAGGCATTAGTCCAACACATAGATCCGAGAGGCAATATCTTGGACCAACCAATCAAATCCCTCAAGCAGTCCATCTCCCGTGTATGCACTGCAGCCAACAATTTCCCAATGCCGAGTTTTATCCATCGCCTCCAAGTTCAAAACCTAGACGGAAGTATAATAGATAAGTGTTTCAGAAACTCATAATTTTAAAGGAATGCTCATCTTCATCTGTATGTAAATTGTTTCGAAATGTACCAAAACTCCTTGAAAGATTTCACATAACATTGTTGCATATAAACTCCACAAACATGATGAGTAAAACCCATGCCGTTGTTGCATTTGTCATCCAGATAATAAGACAAGTGAATAAACTATCTAAAGCAACATAACAAGACAACGAACAAAGCTGTCTACGGGCAATGGGTAATCAAAGCATGCAAAACAAAACCAGGGCCACATTCACAAATTAATCCTATGTGTGTATACACGCTGACCTAGAGCCTTACCTTAGCAATTTCTTCTGGAGTAAGGGCACCTTTTATGTCCTGTTTATTTGCTAGTATCAATAAGGATGATCCAGATAGCCTCTGTAATATCATCAAAACAAGTCAGCTTCTTTAGAACATTTGACCAAAATAATGGTCATAACTCACAAGCGCAAGGATTACTCCTCAAAGCATTTCCTAGGTCTTATCATGTGGATATTCGTTTCAGGATTCCAGACCAGCAACATTATAAGTTATTTAAGAGGATGTGATTGCTTATCCAAAATTTCAAGTGATGCATCTCAATTACATAATTAATCAGTTCACAGCCAGCAAAAGTTAAAACAGTTATACACTCATACAAGACTTGAGAAAATGCAGCATGAGTTGATACACTCAGAACATGCTCACATACTAGATGGATATCCTAACAGCTGGAACTGCAGATGAGCACATAAATTGTATCGTACATTAAAGGAGGTATATGAACAACGAGAAATCCAAATGGGTTATTTTACACTAGGTACAAAAACAAAAAGAGCGAGTGTATAATGAAGTAATAAGCGACTATACCTCTTCCTTCAAAAGATTATCAAGTTCCATTTTGCAGTCATCTAACCTTCTAAGATCTGAACTGTCAACTACCCATACCAGACCATCAGTTTGCTCAAAATAGTTTCTCCATAAGATCTTATTGTTTTTTGTCCCCCCGACATCCCATATATTAAGGGTATACCTGCCAAGATCAAATTACAAGCATTTAAAGTTTCCATATCATAATAAACAAAGTATGAAACTTCAAAACCGCATTGGTGCCAGAGTTTTTTATGGCCTATAAAACGAATCAATGAAATAAACAGTTGTCATAATCTAGGGAAAACAATCCCCCAAATGAGAAAATAAACACCCAATTCCTTAATAGGAGCCCAAGCATTCCAACTACTCTATGTTGATTAACCCACAAACTATTTTCATAACACTTTGGTACAAACAAATACAAATGTAAAAAAAAAAAAAAAAATAAAATATTGGGGTTAAGCGTAGTTCACTTAACTTTTGGTAAGTGATGGTCTTGATGTTGAAGCCGAGTGTGGGGACTGACAACACTGGTGTCCTCTCCATTAATCCTGAGCACAATGGTAGTCTTGCCGGAATTGTCAAGCCCACTTCACAAACAAAACAAAACAAACAAACGAACGATTACTTAATTCTCATATCATACAAGTGAACAAAAGGCAAGATGGGGTGAGATGAAGTTTCACTTACACCATGAGTATACGAATTTCTTTTTCCTTCCTTTTAATTTTTCGGAATGATGCTGAGAAGCCCCCATTGTTCCCTCCCAAAAAGAATCAGATTGATCTTCTCCCCAATAGAGCTTCAGATGATTCGATGAAAATCAGGATTGAGGATTGTAATTTGTAAATCAGGGCAATTAATTTTAAAGAAAATTGAATTGACAACCATATATGGCGGTACAAATTTATGGCCTGTCTTGTTGTTTTGCTGGCGGTTTTTGCGCCTTTTAAAATTGCATGAAATGTGTATAAAGCAATGAAAATAGGCAGGGAACATCTCAACTACCCAATTGCCAAAATACTGGGTTTACCAACATGTTCAAATATTGTAATCATCTAAACCTATCATTACAACAACAAAGTAACACCAACCAATTGTCAATTGATGCCATTAGCTAATTCCTATGCTCTATTCACAAAACTTAAAACAATTAATTGAAATTTCAGCCTATAAACTCACCCCTTACTTAACAGAACTGAAAACACCAACCAAACCGCTCTATCCAAAGCAACGAAAGACCACCTGCAAAATATCAAAAGAAAACATGGTTTAAAAATAAAAATAAATAAATAAAAAAAGGAAGAAAAAACATAAAAATCGGAGAAGAAATTAGCTTGTGTATTCATGCATGCACAATCTTTTCATTAAACCAAATAATTAGCTTGAGCAAAAATCTATACGGAAAGAAACCACGGGGAAAATGTATGTAATTGAGTTCCTTACCTCTCCAACATTAAATATAAATCTTTGCTTGTCAAAGAATAGCAACACTGAAGGAGATGTATCCTGCGTATCCATTCCAATCCCTAGCAACTGCAAAGAGTAGAAGCATGGCCAAATTATTAGCCCATGAAAAGGAAAAAAACAATAGAACCAAACTCTGCATTCTGAAATTAGGATATACAAACTTTCTTAGTTTTCAATTAGTCTCCATTCAACGCAAAAATCTGCTTCGTAAATCAAACCCACAAACAAAAAATTATTAATTTTAACTTTTCTGAATTCTTTCTCGTCATCACTAATGTCCACAAACAGAATTCCAATTTAGAAGTCAGATTTCCTAAACCAGTCTTCTTCAAGTCAACTATGCTAAAACATTGCAATCAGTTCCTAGAATCACACTTCCAAATTTTCTTTCCCCTACCAAAACAAAAATTATCAAATTCAAATCCCGAGTCCCATAACCCAGTATAAGAACGAATTTGAATTGAAACCCTGTAGTAAAAGAACGAACATATCTTTAAACAGAGCTACTCAAATAGCAGCATATCCTGCTTACCAAAACAGAGCTATCCTAAACCCTGTAACAAAAGAACCAGCATATCCAAATACCGATTTTCAGGGTTTACCAACTAATTTTTAATAACCAAACAGAAAACCTTACCAAAAGCAATCATATAGTATTTTAATAACTAAATTGTTTAACCTGATTTCATCAAATTTATAACACAATCAAATCAATTTCAGTATTTGGATAATTTTTTTTTTATGAATTAGCACATCATTCACACATAATTTGAGGAATCTGATTAACCAATTTGTGCATTTGCTTAAATTGGATTGACGTTTTCTTGTCGATCAACAATCACTCATTTACCAACATAGATTCCGAGAAATTGTCTTCTTGTTGATCAACCTCTTGTATTAAAAATCAATTCCTTGTTTGGAGCCCAAAAGTTTTTAATTTAAAAATAAAATATGTCAAAAGTCTCAAAACAATCCAAATCTAAAGCAAAATGATCAACCAGTTCAATCACAAGCAACAATCAAAGGCTGAGATAGCTAGAATACCTCAGTTTTAATGATTCAAAACGAAAAACATAGAAAATAAATTCTGCAAGCAACAAAATCCCAAAAAGACAATGCCTAAACAAATTATACTAATATAATCAATAACAATTTTTCATTTTTTCCTGTAAAGTAAAAAATGGAGAATTTCAAAAACTCATCACAAAGTCCTCATTCACAATCTCGATCCTTAATTAATCAGAAAAATGTACTAATATGGTATGAAAGTTAAAAAAAGAAGAAGGAAAAAATACCCAGGAATCCAATAAAAGTAGCAGATCAATTGAAGTATTATAAAGTGATTCTTTAGTTCTAACCTTTGTAAGCATACTATTGGATTAAAAGAGTTTTCAAGTTTTGTTGTCTCAGTAATTAAGAGATAAAGTGATTTTTGAGTTCTAAGTATTGTTATTACTCTACCTATCATCACAACAACAAATTAACAACCCATTACATCAGCAACATCATTACAAATTGTCGAAATTGGCATGCTTACATTCCCACAACAACAATATTAACTACAACAGATCATCACAGCAATAGAATCAATTTGGGCAAGGAATCAAAGGATTCAACAACATGCTCAAAAACCCACGAGCAAGCCATTAATTCGTTAAAAATTACTACATTAGACACTGACAAATAATCAAAATGGGTACAAATTTATTAATTAGAAAAAATAAAGTATAAACGGGATAGAGAACAAACTCATTAATGGCAAGCACTTACCACAATATTAAGTCTAATGCAAAATTCACCGATGAAGATTTGGGATCACAAAAGCTGAGCTGAACGATTATGCCTAGAGCTTCATTCCGTAAATCTTAGGGAGCTCATCAAATGCCGTAGGGAGCTTCCTACAAACAACCTGGTACTGGTGGAAACTGCAACACAAAAAGACACCTTAATTGCAGCTCAAACATGTAAATGCAATTTCATATCTATTCATAAACTTCTAAATCTTAAACCAAATGGACTTGATAGTTTCGGCCCACTGAATCACACTGTTTTTTTTTCAAATCACTAAAAAAAAGATCCTATACTCGTCCTGTCATACTTTAATTTGACAGTTTCGTACAATATAAAACTTCCAAAAAGAATTTGCAATGTTAGCAAAGTCAGCAGATGATTTTATTCTACAGAACATAAATAAACAATTGATACAAAAGCATTCTAGATCTGTCCGCAGCTAGAAACAATAAAGACGTACACCAAAGCAAAAAGCATATGCTAGAAACAATGGAAAATGCATTATATATTTGAACAAAGCAACTGACCCTAAGGAGGTTTTTCTAGACAATCTAGACTCCCCTAGGTACTGCTCAGGGATTTACAAAACATTCACAATGTTGGTCAATGCTGAGACTTTGCAAGTCATTAATGAACAGAATGGGACCCTCTCAAATTATTTAAACCATAAGGCGAGCCAGTTTTACTGTCTGATAGGCTAAGCCTTTACTCTAACAACGGTCCCAAATGACCTCAACCATGTTGTGTGCTGTTGTTATACCCAGGTATGTTTTGCATTTAGTATTTTCATCAAACCAATGTATTTTTTTCTCTCTTAATCAATCTAAATGGTCTGTGACTACAATTTTCTTTTAAAGAGATAAAAATCATCCATCTCATACATAACTTAAGTCAATTTATAAATAAAACTTTCCCTCTGTCAGATTAGCTTCCTTTTGTTTATCTTAAATTACACTATCTGTTTGTTCTTGAAGAAAAACCCTTTCAAACGATCAACTTGTCCACTATAAACCTAAAGAAAATTAAACCCATTTTCATATGGTGCCGTTCTTTTTTTTTTTTTTTTTTTTTTTTTTTTTTTTTTTTTTTTTTTTTTTTTTTTTTTTTTTTTTTTTTTTTTTTTTTTTTTTTTTTTTTTTTTTTTTTTTTTTTTTTTTTTTTTTTTTTTTTTTTTTTTTTTTTTTTTTTTTTTTTTTTTTTTTTTTTTTTTTTTTTTTTTTTTTTTTTTTTTTTTTTTTTTTTTTTTTTTTTTTTTTTTTTTTTTTTTTTTTTTTTTTTTTTTTTTTTTTTTTTTTTTTTTTTTTTTTTTTTTTTTTTTTTTTTTTTTTTTTTTTTTTTTTTTTTTTTTTTTTTTTTTTTTTTTTTTTTTTTTTTTTTTTTTTTTTTTTTTTTTTTTTTTTTTTTTTTTTTTTTTTTTTTTTTTTTTTTTTTTTTTTTTTTTATTATTTATAAATAGTATAGCCGGCCGGCTAAACTCTTTAAATAATATATTTAACACGTATAGCCGATCGGCTGTACTTCTCAAATATATATTTAAAAAGTATAGGTCTTCGAACATTCAACATAGTTTCAGCAATGAATGAACGATAATCCGCAATGTTTGACAGTAGTAGTGGGAAATCACTTCAAAAGCCTCAAGACTTCATACCATTAGCATCTTACCAGCTCTTAATTCATTGATATAGAAACTGGAAAATAATCACTTAAAATTGATACGTAAGTACTTACAAATGCAGTTGCCTTCCCCTTGCTGTTTCGATAGCCTCTGGATCTGCAAAATGTAATCAAACAAGAGAAACACTACCCAAAGTTTATTCCAAAGAAAGCTTAATCATTTTCACAAGGAAACTCACACTAAATAGTAAACAAGACTGCATCCCTTGGAGCATGAAGAGCTACATGAAGCACTGATCTATTTTCTGTGCTGTTTATGAGAAGGCACCACCCAGAAAAAGAAAAACAGAATGCAAAAGGATCACATGACAATGGTTTCAGAAATAAGCTGGTCTCATGATCTTTACCATAAATCCTATAAAGCTATCAAATATAAGTTTTTGTGATTTCAGACAGTTAAAGGTCAGAAATTTGGGTATCTAGGAGACACCAACTAGCTATTGTTTCTACTGGTACTTCTCTCTACTTTGTTGGAAGAGGTCCCAAATTTTAATCGCTTCCCCCATATCAGAAAATATATTTTTTATTTTTAAATAGGAAACACTTCGCGCTAATTGCAGATAAAAAAGTGTTCAAATTAGCATTTTAATTCCATATTTATGCACATAATACTCGACCAAAGGAAGATAAACTTGAAACGTACATGCTCTCCACCAAACATTCGGTTAATCTTTTCTTTGAGGGATGCAGCCTGCATTGTGGCATAGACAACAACATTAATTAGAAAACACTATATTCACCCAATCCTTCCCCACCTCTGCCAATTTCCAAGGTTTCAGGCGTGGCACGTTGCCGTGGGTAGTCCAACACTATCCCGTCAAACTCACTAAGTGTTATGTTTGTTTTAGGAAAACCTGAACTGAATCTCAACCAGCGATTCAGCTTGGAGGAATTGAGATGAGGGACTCGTATAAGGACTCGCAGAAGGCGAGTAAGGGGAACCATTAGGTGCATAACTAGGAGGAACAGTAGGTTTAAGATGAGAAGTTGGTGAGGAGCTTGGAGGAATTCCAGAACCGCGGTATGGACATGGACGAGGATGTGGAGGTACCTTGGATGGTGCTGGGGGGAGATGATTACTTCAGGTGATGGCGTGCTGGAGAGTGAACTGGAGAAGCAGGATATGGAGAAATTGTTGGCTCTGGAGACAGAGCGGGAGGAGTAGGAGGAGGACCCCTAAGATAAGAAGATAAACTGATACTTTGATAAGAAGTTATCAAGCCCGGAAAAAAAGAAATTAAAAAAAAACACACGCCATTCAAGTTTTCGAAAAATGGGCCGCCTAGGCGGGCTAGGCGGGTTCTTTTTTTTTTTAATAAATAGTATAGCCCGAACGGCTATACCTTTTACATATAAAAACATAGTATAGCCGCGCGGCTATACTATTTCTTTAAAAAAAAAAAAAAAAACAAAGTACTAACGCTCCGGCTATACTATTGTTTTTAGTTTACACTTCCGTTGTATTTATAAATATAAATAAAAAAAAAAAAAAAAAAAAAACAAGAGGCTTTGGGGTTAACCCGAATGGATGGTGGGCCGTTAATTATTCAACAAAAATATGTTATGTCCTTTGAGTCACATATCTTCTTCCTAAATTCCTTACCCAAAAAAAAGAAAAAGAAAATAAAGAAGTACTTGTATCAATGTTTTGAAAAGCAAGGCGTTGAAACAAAGTATCTTATATCTCGCAAAACGAGGCGTAAACCTTTTGAACATTCAATTATTAAAAATAAAAATATATTAGTGTGTTAATAATATGTAAAACATATGATCCATATATATGTGAGGTCATTGACTCATAAATTGAAACAATTCAAGCCTCTCTTTAGCCCTAGATTGATTTAGACAGTCATAGATTGGATATGAAGTCAAATTTATAAGATAGGCTTCACATCTTGTTTGAATAGATTGAAGGAGAGGCTCCCGTTAGAAATTGGTGGGTGGTTGGGCTGAGAGCTAGTCAAAGGGGGAGAGAACATAAAACAAAAGGCACTAATTAATTTAATAAATTTTATTGTGAAGGAATGGGGAAGCGGGACCTGAGGCTTATGTTATGTTCTTAAAATTAACAAGACGCTGGCGTTTGGCATGACTCTTTAAACACGACAACTGTACCAACGGCAACGCAACGCCTCTGCAAAAAGTGATTGTGTGATGAGGGGCTCTATTCCCGGGTAGCACACTGAGGCAAGCGGAATCTTGGTCTGTGTGGGGAAGTAACCCCCCAATCAAATTCTCATATATTTCTGGTTTGGTTGCTACCCAACTTCACCACTAATGCCAAGGTGAACACCCAAAGACCACTATGTCTCACACCTACGAAGGTTTCCATAGCAACCAATCACTTTAAAGCCCTGCTTAGTTACAAGGCCATGCTACTAGGCTCGGCAATTTGAAGTGTTATGTAAGTCCCTATAACCTTTGTGTGGTCACTTGTTTTACCGATGTGGGACTCTGTATCATCAGGAAACTAGAAATCTGCCCCAAACTCTTTAAAAATTTGTCAATAACTCTCTCATAGCCGCTCCTTCTTGCTTCCCCTCTCTATTTCATCGTTTTATGTTCCTAGCCCTAGGGCAGCAGCCATCGTCATTGCCACGAGCCAACACTACCAGCAGCTGCCATCGCCACCATCCAAAGTAAGTAGCAACGATGTCTCTTTACATTGATTTTGAATGTAAGTTCTGATGATGGGCTTCTGTAATGAAAATTAATAAATTATACAAGACCACACAAAAGAAAGTTATAAAGAGAATGGGCGGTGCCTGTACTTATTTTATTCGGAAATATTTGCACAAGCTATAAATTGTTACTTAGCTTTCTACAGAACACTCATGTGCTTAAGTTTGGCGGTGCCTATAGTTTTCTGTTTTATGCTTGTTCAACAAAGATTGCACAAGTATTTCCTTTGAGGGTAGTATGTTTGATTAGGAGCAATGTAAAGCTTTCCTGCACAAGAATGATTGTCTTGTTTTGGTGCCGCTTTTGTAATGGTGGTGATTACACAATATAGCATGGCTCCCACGACTTCTTAGAGCTCCATACTATGTTTTAGTTTTGAATGATGGTAGGTTTGCATGAACTTGGTTTAAATGGTTCAGAGTATATAGATTTTTGTTTGTGAAGTTTTGTCATCATTTAGTAAATGTCTCATGATTAGGTTGAACTCAAGAAAATATTTATTAATTAGGATTTGATACGATTAATAAGGTAAAAAAATGAAGGAAAAACCGAAGTATAGCCGCGCGGATGTATTATTGATAAATCAAAGGGGGACGATAGAGACTCGGGTAATGGCCTAATACTTAGTCATCTAGATTAATCGGAATGTCATCCTCCAAATTCTCAGGCGAGGGTGTCTCAGGAAAGAATTCTTCATTTGGATACAACTTCTGGAAAAGCTGTCAAGTGCAAACATTGACACCAAATTTCGTAAGGGTTAACATCCAGGGATATATAATAACAAAAAGTTAAGCTTAATGAAACCACACAAGATGTCAGTAAAGAGATAATAATACACATATAAAGAATTTAGTATTTTTCCGTTTAATATTTGTATTATACACGTAAGTAAACTTAATGCTTACCAAGGGTAGTTTCTGGATTTAACCCTGTAATATTTCTCGCAACATCAATAGGATCAACGTTTGCAAGACTGCACACAGGGTAAAGCAAATTATTAGAATACCCTTCGACCAGAATCATCCATCCTCTGATAAAAATACGCATATAATCCTTTAACGCACCCAACTACCAAGACTAGAACCAAATATTTACACAGAATGCATCTAACATAGTCCCTGAATATGGGCTATGTTTCTTCAACCACCACAACTCCAATCAACACACAGAATACAGATTGCTTTCAAATATAAACAAAAAGAAAATTTGAAACCATAAGCACTTAAAAATTGATACGTAAGTACTTACAAATGCAGTTGCCTTCCCCTTGCTGTTTCGATAAACTTTGGATCTACAAAATGTAATCAAACCAGTGAACACTACCCAAAGTTTATTCAAAGAAATCTTAATCATTTTCACAAGGAAACTCACACTAAATAGTAAACAAGACTGCAAAATATATGCATGGAAAGAATCATCTAAACCTGTTTGAAGAGGACCTAAGAAGCTGCCACCGATACCAACAGCAATGACATCCTTCAGGATCACCCTCATTGCTCTCCAAGTGTTCCTGTTGCAGAAAGTAGGATCAGATGAGGCTTCATATATATGCCTAGTAATTGAAACATAAATTAAAACCAAATATATGCATGGTAAAACTAAACTGAATCTCAACCAATGATTCAGCAATTTCTTGGCCGAAGATGAGGGTTTTTCCTCTTCTACAGCAGCTGTATTATCTTGCATCTCTCTGGGAGTTTTGATTTACTCTTTTTGCTCATCTTATGGATCCAAAAAGCTGCATTTCACCCATATTACATTACTGAGAATTGAAAAAAATGTATTATCCACATAATACTCGACCGAAGGAAGATAAACTTGAAACGTACATGCTCTCCACCAAACATTCGGTTAATCTTTTCTTTGAGGGATGCAGCCTGCATTGTGGCATAGACAACATTAATTAGAAAACACTATATTCACCCAATCCTTCTCCCCCCACCCCACAACACAAAAAGACACTAGTTACGAATGGGCCAACCCCACCTCTGCCAATTTCCAAGGTTTCAGGCGTGGCACGTTGCCATGAGTAGTCCAACAGTATCCTCTCAAACTCACTATTAAGTGTTATGTTTGTTTCAGGTAAACCTGAACTGAATCTCAACCAATGATTCAGCAATTTCTTGGCCGAAAATGAGGGGTTTTTCCTCTTCTACAGCAGCTGTATTATCTTGCATCTCTCTGGGAGTTTTTGATTTACTCTTTTTGCCCATCTTATGGATCCAAAAGGTGCATTTCACCCAGATTACATTACTCAGAATTGACAAAAGAGATGCCTGAACCCGCCAGGAAAAAAGAAATCCAAAAAAAAACACCATTCAAGTTTTCGAAAAATCGGCCCGCCTAGGCGGGCTAGGCGGGTTCTTTTTTAAATAGTATAGCCGCGCGGCTGTACTTTTAAAAAAATATATTCAAAGGGTATAGCCGATCGGCTGCACTTCTTAAATAATATATTTAAAGAGTATAGGAGAAAATTGACTGACTCGACTGCTCATATAGGAGAAAATTGATGTTTATGGTCGTTGAACAGTTCTTCAACATCTGAATCCATTGAAATATGATTGAAAGGGATGAAAAAATAATCAAAACCAATATTCTAGATGCAGTTAACTGAAGAGCTGGAGTCAAACTCATGAGCAATGAAAAAGAACCATTTTGCACTCTAGGTAAACTAAGTTTAATTCTTCAAAAAATGACCCTCACATTTTTCCTCTCAACCTAATTTTATGTCTCCCAATATGTCAATATGAAATAGAAATAACGAGGATATCTTTAGAACCTTCGTCCTCATGAACTCAATAAATAGCATCACCGTCAACATCGAAAAGAAAAAAGCATAAATTCAGAATTACCAACGGATAATGAAATATTGTTAATTAAATTTAGTGATAATCTGAATGTTTAATCAATTAAAGGCAAGAGAACAAAGGAAATTTCCATACTGTAAGATTAGTGCTGACTGCTACCATTCCATATGCTTTGCAACTGCATCAGGCCTGAAATTGTTACGCTCAATAATGAGAAAGAGAGAGGGGCAGGCAGATCTTCAAAACTTACATTTTATCTGACAAACTCAATGATTAACTACAAAGACATAATAAACCTTCACTCCATCATACCATGTTGAGGACTAAATTATTCAATTATAAAATTACTAAGCTATTCCAAATATGATTCATTCCCGCCCACTCCCAAGCTCATTCACGGTTGTTTAAATTAACCCAAAGATTATTAAGCAAAAATCCTGAACTGAAACAACGTGTTCATATACTTGAAGAAGTGCTAGCAGTGCACTAACCCGAGAGAAGATGAAATCCATTCCCTAAGGGTTCAAACATTCAACATAGTTTCAGCCGTTGTAAAGGTCTTTGAAACTACCACAACTGCAAATATCAGAAATGGAATACTGCCACTCCTTATGGGCCATGTTAGTGGATTTTTACAGAATGCATCTGATCCCTTAACCCAACTTCCAAGACTACAACCAAATATTTACACAGAGAATGCATCTAACATAGTCTCTGAATATGGGCTATGTTTCTTCAACCACCACAACTACAACCAAACACACAGAATACAGATTGCTTTCAAAAAAAAAACAAAGAAAATTTGAAAGCATAAGCAAAAGCATGCCATGTCCTAAAATCCTATGTGCCGTATCAAATACAAAATGCTTCTCTACATGTCTTTAACAGATGAATGCATCCCTCCTTCAAGAACTATGCCACTGAAATAAACTCATGAACACAGACAATCTCATTGTTCCAATCAGGTAGGTCCTCAAATGAAGGAGCTAAAAGAAAGCTAATCCGCAATGTTTGACAGCAGTAGTGGGAAATCACTTCAAAAGCCTCAAGACATGGATTCATACCATTAGCATCTTACCGGCTCTTAATTCATTGATATAGAGAACGGGAAAATAATCACTTAAAAATTGATACGTAAGTACTTACAAATGCAGTTGCCTTCCCCTTGCTGTTTCGATAGCCTCTGGATCTGCAAAATGTAATCAAACCCGTGTTCCAAAGAAAGCTTAATCATTTTCACAAGGAAACTCACACTAAATAGTAAACAAGACTGCAAAATATATGCATGGAAAGAATCATCTAAACCTGTTTGAAGAGGACCTGAGAAGCTGCCACCGATACCAACAGCTATATTATCTTGCATCTCTCTGGGAGTTTTTGATTTACTCTTTTTGCCCATCTTATGGTACTGAGAATTGCCAAAATGTACTTGCAGAGATGCTAGACCCTCCAGGAATAAAGAAATCTGAAAAAAAAAACTCCATTCAAGTTTTTGAAAAATCGGCCGCCTAGGCGGGCTAGGCGGTTCTTTTTTAAAAATAAATAAATAAATAGTATAGCCGCGCGGCTATACTATATTAGTTTCATAATTGCAATAGACCCGCCAGGAAAAAAGAAATCTTTTAAAAAAATGCAATTCAAGTTTTCGAAAAATCGGCCGCCTAGGTGGGCTAGGCGGTTTCTTTTTATAAAAAAAAATATATATAATTATTTTTATTTTATTTTTATAAATAAAATAAATAGTATAGCCGAGCGGCTATACTAGTTTCATAATTGCAATTCTGTCTGAAAGTACTCTATCTTTCAGAAAAAGAAAAATAAATAATTCAATATGAGGTCTCTCAATTCTGAGACTGATTTATAGTTTTTCTCTGCCTATGCATTGGGAGCATATCAACATGAGAATATCTAATATTTAAGTTTCAAATTTCGCCATTAAAATGTTTTGGTAGGTTCTCATTATATCAAGGCTGTTCTACACAAATGGAGGTGATGCCATTTGGTGTTAGCATCAAATGGCATTCATTTTCTCTGGAAATGGCCACAGGACCTTAATTCTAGTGGAGTGGTAAAGAATGACATGCTTTATAATTCTTTCCTATTAGATTTCTCCGCTCTTTCCTTTCGAATTGAAACCGAAGTGACAGTCATTTGATTCTAAATCTTGAAATTTTCTTTTCCCAGCAAAAATTTCCCAGATCTTGTTTGTCAATATGCTTAGGTTCTGTTTGCAAATTTCTCATGCTCTAACTCATTGTACTCATAAAAATCTTGCTAAACCTCAAACAGTATTTCTTTGGTCTATATTAACTTCTCGTAACCGGCATTTGTAAAGCGGGGCAATTTCTACTCTTATCAAACTCATGAGATCAGAAGTCACATAAACTGACTACCAACACCTCAACTACAGAGGGACCTATTTTGTAACACCCCGACTCCAAATTTATCCCCTGTTTTAATTAATTTAAGTGGAATTAAGAATTTACCCGTGGGATAGGGGTATTTTAGTCATTTTCTTACCCGGAAGGAATTTGAGAATTCCGGATGTACCGTTGCGTAGAGCACGGCGAGATGAGTTCATAGACACGTAGTGGGCTCGAATCGGAGTTGTAACGAGAGAGATATGATCAAAAGAAGCTCAGTGGCATAATCGTAAATATTTTGAAGTGGGATTTTTGGTTAAAAGACGGAATTGCCCCCGTCTCTCACTCACACTCTCTCTCTCCCGCGCGTCCCTCTCTCTCCTCTGGTTCGCGGCCGCCACCACAGCCGGCCACGTTTTGGCCGGCCGTTCAGTCATCCGGCCACCACTCGGGTCGGGACCGGTCCCAAAATGACCGGCCTGACTCCGCCGTCCTACCCCACCTGTTCTCCGACGTCAGCCGGCAGCGATACCGCCGGAAAGTGCAGAAAAAACGGCCGGTTTTTACCCAGATTTTCCGGAGCTCGTTCCGGCGATTCCGGCCACCAAATCTTGCGATCAAGGTATGGTTTCTCACCTATTTTCCGAGCTCTAGCTGCCTGTTGGGTAGGAATTGATCGATTTGTAGCGTAGGCAACTCGATTTACGAATTGGGTTTCGGCCGGATTTCGGGATGAGATTCCGGCCACTTCCGGTCAGATTTTGGGGTATGCCCAAGAACAAAAGTGGCTCAGAATAGGGTTTTACATCTAGGATAGGAAGCTTGGCCGGCGGTTTGGAGTTTTCCGGCCGCCGGAAATTACTCAAGGCACCCACGCGCTGCCGGCGCGTGTGGCGGCGCGTGGGCTAGGAAAATGGACCGGCTCGAGGTTCTAAAATGATCCTCAGGTTGTCATGAGCGCGTAGGTGTGCTCGGATCTATTTGGATATCGTTAGAGTCCCGAACGGATATCGCATATCGCGTATTTTCCGGGTTCGCTGGGTTTGGACCGTTGGATGGTCCTGAGATTATAATATGTTGATCTAGGTATTACCAGGATCGTGTAGGATTCGACGGATCGTAAAACGGAGTCCCGGATACTCCGGAAATGCCAACCCTGGGGTTAGGGTTTTAGTAACCGTCCGATCGTGCGATCGTGAGCGATCCGACCGTCCGATCTGGACCAAACTTGCAGGACGTGTGTCCTAGACCTTGTAGAACCTATAGGAACTTTCGGATCGGAATTTGGAGGTTGTGGGCCCCGCAGGCCCGTTTGACCCTAGGTTGACCGTGAGACTTCCGAGATAGTCTTGCCTTTCTTTGAGGGTTAGAATGACCTTAGTGACAGGTCTTGAGCGTTGTTGAGTAAAATGGATATTGTGGGTTTAGGATATAAATTGGTGAATTTAAATGGGGGGAGTTTATGGAATATTTTATTGGTTGATGTTATTGTATGATTAGAAATTATATGATATATTTAATTGATTGTGTGGAGGTATAATGATATATAAGGAGATTGAATGTTAGTTTACAGTGCTATACGCACTACCCCACGTACCCCCATATTGTGATTATGTTGAGGCCCAAGTGATAGTGTGAGGTCGCACGCGTCTTTGGGTTAGCCGGCGTGTTGACAGACCCCGTACGTGGCCGGGTGCGTCCCGACGTATGAGTGGGAGTTATGATTGTGTGAGGGCTGGTGAGAATGTAGCCAGGCCCAGTGTGAGGTCGCACGCGTCTTTGGGTTAGCCGGCGTGTTGACAGACCCCGTACGTGGCCGGGTGCGTCCCGACGTATGAGTGGGAGTTATGATTGTGTGAGGGCTGGTGAGAATGTAGCCAGGCCCAGTGTGAGGTCGCACGCGTCTTTGGGTTAGCCGGCGTGTTGACAGACCCCGTACGTGGCCGGGTGCGTCCCGACGTATGAGTGGGAGTTATGGTTGTGTGAGGGCTGGTGAGAATGTAGCCAGGCCCAGTGTGAGGTCGCACGCGTCTTTGGGTTAGCCGGCGTGTTGACAGACCCCGTACGTGGCCGGGTGCGTCCCGACGTATGAGTGGGAGATATGATGGTATAAGGGCTGGTGAGAATGTAGCCAGGCCCAGTGTGAGGTCGCACGCGTCTTTGGGTTAGCCGGCGTGTTGACAGGCCCCGTACGTGGCCGGGTGCGTCCCGACGTATGAGTGGGAGATATGATGGTATAAGGGCTGGTGAGAATGTAGCCAGGCCCAGTGTGAGGTCGCACGCGTCTTTGGGTTAGCCGGCGTGTTGACAGGCCCCGTACGTGGCCGGGTACGTCCCGACGTATGAGTGGGTGATATGATGGTATAAGGGCTGGTGAGAATGTAGCCAGGCCCAGTGTGAGGTCGCACGCGTCTTTGGGTTAGCCGGCGTGTTGACAGACCCCGTACGTGGCCGGGTGCGTCCCGACGTATGAGTGGGAGTTATGATTGTGTGAGGGCTGGTGAGAATGTAGCCAGGCCCAGGGTTGAGGTCGCACGCGTCTTTGGATTAGCCGGCGTGTAGACAGACCCCATACGAGGCCGGGCCCGTCCCGTCGTATGAGGGGAGCTATGTGATTATGTTTGGTGTGTTGTGATGGTTTAATTGATATCAGGAGCCAGGATTGATAGGAAAGAGCTACGTGTGGCTTGATCCCTTAGTAGGGTACGTAGGCAGCCTGGGATAGCGCCTAGGTGCAGCCACGACCTAGACACCACTTAGGTGGTTTTATCGAGTATGATGCGGACCTCGTGGTTGGTCCCGAAACTTGGTTGAATTGAGGCTTGTCCGGTGGACTGAGTGAGTGAAGGTGTGTATGGATGGATTTTGAATTGGTTATATGCTTGTCTGATGCAGTAAGTTATTTTGAAAACGTGGTGGGCAGTTTGTTAGAATCATTGAAGGCCGGAGGCCATTTATGTAATTTGCATGAGAGTATATTGTGCGTGCTGCTAGTTGGGTTATAAAATGTGTTTTATGCAGGTGGAAATTTTGGGGAATGTTCAATTTACAGGGGAGACTCTGCCGAAGTTTTGGCAGAAAGTCTCGTGCCCTTAATCCTCTATGGTAAACGAGGACGTAGATTTAAGGAGTAAACCCGGCGTGGGTGTGATGCCGGGGTCTCCGCAGGGTTCGTCTCGGGTTCCGGGAAATTCGGGACGGGTCCTGTCATATTTTCAATTAAGAAAAACCTATATTGCCAAAAGACAAAATTTTGAATAAAGATGCTTAATATTTTATTGAAACAGCAAAGAATCATAATTTCTTATAAACTCTAACGCTATTTTGAGATGGTCTGAAACTTTTACTTTGGAATTCAACAAATTAGTGACTTCAATTGATTCAAACAACTAGATAATCCTAAGTTATCCAAATTTCAATATTAATGAGAAAAGGAATGATGTGAAGGATTTTCTTTCGTTTTTTCATGTCAGTAGGTTGTTGTCTGGAATATGGAAACACTGCAAACTGAAAGCACACCAGAGGGCACTCCTTGATAATTACTGATGTTCGATTTAGACCAAATTCAACTCAGTTGGCAACTTCTTCATTTGACACAAGGACCTGTCTCTTTTGACTTCTGCTTTCATTATTTTATAGCTTCTACTTCTGTAAAAATGCTCCCCGATTTGCTTCAATTATATTTAATATTTCTTAGGATGTCTAGAAATAGAAACATATCCCTGGCATGAGACTAGCTTTCTTTCTTTACTGATAGGACCCATAAATTGCCTTCAGCAGGAAAGCTGAAAGGTGATCAACTTAAAAACAGCTGCAAACATGCAACAAGCTAGGCAGTATACACTTTCAGTAAGCATAAGCAAACATTCTGCACAGCATATCTCACGTTAATTCCTTTAAAAACTAGACAAAACAACAACTATATAACAAAAGCTCATCCTAAGAACAACAAACACCACACACACACAGAGCAAATATCAAATTCCAAGAGACTGAATAAGCATTGCTTATTTTTGGATAGCGAAAACAACATATAATGCAAAAGAAAAGCACAAAACAAGCACAAAAAGTACTAATCAGATGAGTTAACCCTCCAATCAACAGGCCGCCATGCCTTTTCTTTTGTTGTCATTTAAAAACAAACAAGCACAAAAAGTACTAATCAGATGAGTTAACCCTCCAATCAACAGGCCGCCATGCCTTTTCTTTTGTTGTCATTTAAAAACAACCCTATAAAAAATTAATCTGAAAAGAAAAAGAAAAAAAATCTAGACTGTTGAGATTATGTTGAAGGAAAAAACTGAAACTAGTATTAACTTAGCATAACATAATACACACACTCATTATCATCGCCTTCTTCAATCCTTACCTGGACTAGTGCCAATGAAGGCATTCTCTAACTGGAAGGTGTTCCTTCTTCGAGGTATAGGGTGGCCACAAGATGTCCAAATTTTCCTTCTCAAACCCTAAATCTAACTCGAGCTGTCTCCCCTCTCTCTCTCGCTCAGACATAACCCGCAATCTATCTGCTTCTTCAATCCTCATCTCTCTCTCTCTCTCTCTCTCTCTCTCTCTCTCTCTCTCTCTCACATAGCATCATCATCATCTCATTTTTCTGAGTCAGACTCGCCCAGACACGCCCAGGTCGCCTAGGTGGGCGCCCAGCGCCTAGGTGTTTTTTTTTTTTTTTTTTTTTTTTTTTTTTTTTTTTTTTTTTTTTTTTTTTTTTTTTTTTTTTTTTTTTTTTTTTTTTTTTTTTTTTTTTTTTTTTTTTTTTTTTTTTTTTTTTTTTTTTTTTTTTTTTTTTTTTTTTTTTTTTTTTTTTTTTTTTTTTTTTTTTTTTTTTTTTTTTTTTTTTTTTTTTTTTTTTTTTTTTTTTTTTTTTTTTTTTTTTTTTTTTTTTTTTTTTTTTTTTTTTTTTTTTTTTTTTTTTTTTTTTTTTTTTTTTTTTTTTTTTTTTTTTTTTTTTTTTTTTTTTTTTTTTTTTTTTTTTTTTTTTTTTTTTTTTTTTTTTTTTTTTTTTTTTTTTTTTTTTTTTTTTTTTTTTTTTTTTTTTTTTTTTTGGGGCACACTTGGGGTTTCTTTTAAAATATTTTTTTTATTTTTAAGTGTTTTCGCTTGTTAATTCTACTCTGATGCTTTTGTCACGGCACATGTGCGCACCCTGTTCGACAAGCCTCCCATAGGCATGTTGATGGAAAAAACCTATGCCGACGAAATTTCGTCGGGAGAGGTCTACGTGACTTGACGAAATTTCGTCAGGAGGGGTCTTTTAAAAAATATATATATATAAATTCAGGATTTTTAGGTTAATTAATTTTTTAAAATTTTATTGTTAGTAATTAAATAACATATTTGCCTTATTTAATAAGTGAAATTAGCAATGATATTTTAATATTATTTATTCAGTGAATAATTAGTATTAAATTTAATAATTAACTTCTTGAATTATATTACTTAATAAATAGTAATTCAATTTTCCCCTTTTTATTTTTCCATTTAATATTCACTAAGTAAAACATAAATACTAATCTAAGTAATTAAACGGAGAGCCACTTGAAGGGTATAGCCGCGCGGTTGGACTTTTAAAATATTCTATATTCGGATTACAGCCACGCGGCTATTCTTTTGAGGTGCCCTTTGTGAACACCCCACATTGAGCCTTGGGGGCTCTTGGGCTTTGGAGAGATTTAATTAAGACACCCAAACGAGAATAAGCAATTTATTTATTTTTCGTTGTTGACATATCCTTTCAATTTAAATTTGAATGAAATTAGGTTTGAAAATTGCACAAAATAATTTAAAATAATTAATTACTATTCATTGAGCAATTTATGAAATAAGTAACATATTCAAATAGTCACTAAAGAAATAATAATTAAAATATAATTACTAATTAAAGTAATTCAAAAAGGATATGATATTACTTAATCACATATATTAAATAAAGGAAGTTGGCCAAAAGAAAAAGTAAAGAAACTAATTTTAAAAATTAACTGAACACTTCTCCTAACGAAATTTCGTCGGCATAGGTCGATGCCGACAAAATTTTCCGGATTAGGTTTTCCCCGACAAAAAAACCTATGCCAACAAAATTTCGTCGAGAGAGGTCTTTTAAAAATATATATATATATATATAAACTCAGGATTTTAGGTTAATTAATTTTTTAAAATTTTTTGTTAGTAATTAAATAACATATTTGCCTTATTTAATAAGTGAAATTAGCAATGATATTTTAATTATTATT